GCGTGTTCTTCCTTTTTGGTTTTCAGACTCCAGGTCTTTGCACATTTCATTATAGTAATTGGCTTTGTCTACTCGAGCTGCTCTTTGAAATCTATATATTTACATATATATCTTTATCTTCCCCTACTAGAATGTAAACTGTACAATCAACAGAAGGAACTTGTGTTCACACTGTATAGACAGTACCTAGAACAGTGACTTGCACATAGTAGGTATTCAATAAATATTTCTTGACTCACTTCCTATCAGCTTCTTAACTCTACTAATCCTAAAGGATTACAGATCTCCTGCTATTTCCAAAAGTTTTCTGACTGCTGATAATTGCAAATAAATGCATGGGATAAAATAAAAAATAAGATGAGAACTCACTTTATGGAGACATTTAGACATCTTTCACTAAAAATGGTTTCTTTTCATTGGCATGCACATGGAGCAAGATCTGATCTTTCTATGACTCTCACTTAATTTTTTCCTCATTTATTTCATAATTCTAGTTTTGAGACTGAACCCAAACACCTCTGTGTTTATTACTCTTAATTTATTTCCTGCATGTCTTCTTTCCTCTTAAATACTTAATACTATCCATAAATCCCTTTGTCACTTGCCCTAGACTATAAAAAGTAAAACAAAACTTAACTTTAGTAATGATTTCATTTCTTAGGGTTAGACTAACCCCTGTGAGATATATTTGTAAACTGAAGGAACTTCAGACTATATTACCAACATGTTTTCATTTGACATAGGAAGTCATATTTATTGATGTCCTCACAGATTCTTATTCTTCATTATAGTTTCAAAGGATAGAGCATATTATGACAACCAAATGGTAGAAAGGAGAATAGAGAAACCTCTGATATAAATCTAAAGGATAAAACCTGGCAAAGGGAGCAAGAATGATACTGTTTATTTCCTTTATTCCCCCTCTGTATCACTGAAAAATTTTCCTTCTCATGTTGGGGAAACTTCCACATGAAGAGTAAAAACCCAGAATATTAAAAGTAGAAGGAATGCTAGTTATATTCCCAATAAAAACACTCATTGCTGTCTAGTCAATTCCCATTCTTAGTGACCATATAGGAAAGAGAAAAACTGTCCCATAGGGTTTCCAGGGCTGTAATCTTTATGGAAGCAGACTGTGATATCATTTTTCTCCAGAGCAACTGGTGGATTTGAACCACTGGCCTTTCATTTAGCAGCTGGGTGGTTAACAAATATGCCACTATGGGTCCCAGCTTTAAAACTTTTTTAAAATCAAGTAGATCAAAATTGGTGTTCAGATAAACATTGTAGTGAGAGATCGTGTCTTAGTTGATGTCTTAGTTTTCTAGAGCTTCTATGACAGAAAAACCACAAGTGGGTGGCTTTAACAAACAGTAATTTATTTTTTCACAGTTTAGGTGGCTAGAAGTCTGAAATCAGGACACCAACTCTAGGTGAAAGCTTTCTTTCTGTCAACTTTAGGGATAGTTCCTTGTCTCTTGAGCTTCTTCTCCTCTGCTGGGTATCTATCTTTTGCCATATCTGCTTGCTTACTTTTTTGCTTGATCTGGTCTTTTATATCTCAAATTGATTTAAGACACACCCCATACTAATACTGTCTCATTAACATAACAAAAAACATTACCAAATAGAATTATAACCACAGGTATAGGGATTAGGATTTACAACACTATTTTTTAGGGACACACTTCATTCCATAACAGATGGTACTGCAATTGGCACACACACAGAAATGAGGTCATGGTCACAATTGAGAAAATGTAACCAGGACCAGGCAAAGTAAACTTAGAAGTATAACCAGTTATCCAGATTGATTGATGGGAATAACAACTTGTACCATGTAAAGCATGGCATTCCCAGTAAGGGTTGCTATTTTATGGCAGGAAAGGAGAGACTACATTTTCAGGGAATCTTTAGAAAATGAGATCAAGAAAAGAACAAAAGACAGCTGCTTTTCAGCCAAGAACTTACCGAAACAACTCACAATGAAACAGGCACTGAGGATGGAGATGGAAACCACAGCCGCAGACCAGACCTTTACCTGATACCACCAGATTTCTTTCTCTGTCAGATCAGCAAGATAAATGGACAGAAAATTAATCTCCACTGACAGGGGGCCATGGAAAACAAATTCCTAAGGAGTTTAGAACAGCATGGAGGTCAAGCTATGAACAAACAGTAATTTTAAAAGAAAAACTATGAAAGCAAGAAGCCACAGAAATTCCCTCAGAGAAAATGACCTGGAGCCCAAAACAAATTCAGGCAAAAGTCATCCAGAGTCAACTGCACTTTCCAATTCTCTACTTTTTCCCCTTAAATCTCATATCCTCACAGTGATTCCCTGCCTTTCTCCAATATAATTTTGCCTTCAATTCCTCACTTCTCTACATGCTCAAATTCTTACTCTTTCAAAGGCTTCTATACCTGACTTGTTTGGTCTGTCTCTTCCTTTTTCCCTGATTCTTGGTCCCATAACTATTCCAGCACTGAAATTATTAGGGTTTCACCATTCTTTCATTAAGAACCGTCTGCTTCTCCCAAAGTCATCCTGCTTATCTCAATGCCTGTTTTCTCATCTCATTGTGCTCCTACCACTCTCTCTAAAGACAAGAAATGCTCACCTCTGTCTTGAGGCTGTCCTGGCACCATTGTGTGTGCACACACCCTTTTGGCTCCCTGTGATCAGGAGGTCCAGGAGCTCTTAGGTCACTTTCCTGAAGATGTTACCACAGAGGTCTGGCTCCATTCAAAGAGGCCAAGTTCATTGATCCTTTTGTACCTGCTCTGATGAAGCTGAGATGTGACTCAGAAGACTTTCTGCAAGGGGCTAAAGTTTCCAGTTTAATATACATTATCTTCAAAAAGAAGGAACAAAAAAGAGGAAACTGAGAAATTTCAGAGACCAGGTCTAGTTTGTTTAGTTTCTTGTCTTTTTTTTTTTTCCAATTTTTTTTATTGTGGTGAAAATATATACACCAAAACATCTGCCAACACAACTTCCACATTTATAATTCAATGATATTGATTACAGTTTTCACATTGTGCCACCATATCCACTATCATTTTCCAAAATATTTCACCAACAAAAATTCAGTGTCCCCAAACAAAAACTTCTCCTTTCCACCCCCCTTCTACCTGTGGTAACCATTTATAATCTTTGGTTTATATGCATTTGTTAATTTTATATAAAGTTTTATCCTTTTACAATTGATTCATTGCACTCTGCATGATGTTCTAAAGGTGCATCCACGCTGAGGCAAGCACCAGAACTTCATTCCTCGTTATGGCTGCATAGTCCATTCCCTGGAGAAGGATGTCATGCTTGGTAAAGTGGAGGGCCATCAAAAAAGGAAAAGACCTTCAAAGAGATGGATTGATACAGTGGCTGCAATGATGGGTTCAAGTATAACAAGGATTGTGAGGATGGCGCCTGACTGGACAGTGTTTCGTTCGGTTGTACATAGATAACTATGAGTGGGAGCTGACTCCATGGCCCCTAACAACAAAAGGAGTTCATTATATGTATATACCACATTTTACTTATTCATTCATCTCTTGAACACTTCACTGGTTCCACCTTTTGGTTGTTATGAAAAATGCTGTATGAACATTGATGTAGAGGTTTCTGTTTGCATTCCTGCCTTCACTTCTTCTGGATGCTGGATATGTCATGTGGTAATTCTATGTTCAACTTTTTGAGGAACCACTAAATTGTTTTCCACAGTGGGTGCACCATTTTACATTGCCCAGCAGTAGGTGAGGGTTCCAGTTTCTCCCCATCTTCACCAATACTTGTTTTCTGGTTTTTTTTTTTTTTGATCATGCCATTCTAATCATGCCAACTTAAACATGTCTGTTTGATTAACATAGCCTATAATAAATTTTCTCAAAGACCACTCCCCTGATAATGAATTGCTGTCAATGATTTAAGAAAGGGTCCACATTTTGGAGACTGTATGTCAGGAAGGATCCCCAGGAGTGATTATATAAATCAGGAAGCCTGCCTTTGACATCCCACATCGTCACATTACCCTTTTCCATGCCTTAGAACACTATTTTCTTTTGACCAGGCCATATCTAATATTCTGATATCTCATTGTGGTTTTGCTTTGCATCTTCCTAATGGCTAATAATGTGCCGTTGGGCATTTGAATATTCTCGTTGGTGAACTCTCTGTTCAAGTCCTTTACCCATTTCTTGATTGGGTTGTTTGTCTTTTTGTTGTTAAGTTGAAGTTTTTATCTATTTTGGATATTAGGCCATCATCTGTATAAAAAAAAATAATAATAGTTGCTGCCATTGATCTATTCCAACTTATAGAGAACCCCGTTGGATTTCCGAAGCTGTAAATTTTACAAAAGCAGACTGCTTCATCTTTCTTCTGCAGAGCAGCTTGTGGGTTCGAATCTCCAACCTTTTGCTTATCAGCCAAATGCCTTAACTAACACCACCACCAGAGCTCCTTTATCTGTATATGGTTTCTAAAAATTTTCTCCCAATCGGTAGGTTGCCTTTTCACTTTGTTGATAAAGTCTTTTGATGTACAAAAGTATTTAATTTTATGAGGTCTCATATATTTGTCTTTTGTTGCTTGAGTTTTTGTTATCATATCTGATCATCTACTGCTAAACACTAGGTCCCACAGCTTTGCCCCTGTGCTTTTTTCTAAGAATTTCATGGTTTTAGTTTCTACATGTAGGTCCTTGATCCATTTTGAACTGGCTTTTGTGTGTGGTATGAGGCATGGATCCTGATTCTTCTTCTGTATGAGAAAATGCACTTTTCCCAGCACCATTAATTGAAAGACTGTTCTCCATTTAAGGAACTCAGTATCTTGTTAAAAAACAGTTGACATAGATGTATGAATGAATTTATTTCTGGACTTTCAAATCTGTTTCACTGGTCTGTATGTTTATTATTACCCAATACCAGGCTGTTATAATTATTGTAACTTTCTAGTATTTAAAATAAAGAAGAGTGAGTATTCCTAATTTATTCTTCTTTTTCAAGATTGTTGATGGTATAGTTGTTAAGCAGTTAACTCTAACTGTAAGGTCAGTATTTTGAACCTACCATCTACTCCACAGCAGAAAGATGTGGCAGTCTGCTTATGTAAAGATTATGATCTTTAAAAAAAAATTACTCCCTTGGGAACTCTAGAGGGCAGTTCTACTCTGTCCTTTGCCATGCCATATAAATTGAACAACTGTCTTTTTGATTTCTGCAAAGAAGGCTGTTGGAATGTTGATGGCTAATGTATTGAATTTGTATGCTCTGGTAGTATTGACATCTTAATTATATTAAGTCTTCTAAACCATGCACAAGAAATATCTTTCCATTTATTTAGGTCTTCTTCAATTACTTTTAGTAATGCTTTATAATTTTCTGTGTACAGGTCATTCACCTTCCTGGTAGAATTTATTCCTAGATACTTTATTCTCTCAGATGCTACTGTAAATGGTAATGTTTCCTTAATTTCCTTTCCAGATTGTTCATTAAAGACTTATGTTGTTGCTGTTATATACCGTCAAGTCAGCCTTGACTCATAGCGACCCCTCCTTGGGTTTCCAGGAGGGGTCGCTATGAGTCGGGTCTGACTTGATGGCATGCAACAACAACAACATCACTACGGAAGTAGATTGCCGAACCTTCCTTCCGAGGAGTGGCTGGTGGGTTTGAACCACCAGCCTTCTGGTTAGCAGTCAAGTGCTTTAGACACTATACCACCAAAGCTCCATGTAGAAACATGACAAATTTGGGGGTATTGACCTACCCTACCACTTTGCTGGGAAGGAAGATGGGACAATCTACTTCTGTAGTGATACTGCCTCGGAAACCCAAGGAGGGGTCACTATGAGTCGGGTCCAACTCGATGGCACAGAACAACAACAACCACTTTGCTGAATTCATTTATTAGTTCTAATAGCCTTCTTGTGAATCTTTGGGGTTTTCTATGTATAGGACCATGTCATCTGCAAAAAAAGGATAGTTTTATTTCTTCCTTCCTATTACATACATTTTATTTCTTTTCTAACCTAACTGCTGTTTAGTTTCTTACATTAAATTTTCCTATTTGATTTCTATACAATCAGATTATTTTTATATTTTTAAAGGAAATCAGTCAGTAGGCTTTAAATAAATTTAATATTCCCTAATGAATCTATTTTCATTTTTATTAGAATTTGTGTAACATTTAACTTATGTATTTCACATTTATCATGTTTCAGGAATAATATAAATCAGTGCAGACTACTACTCCTCAGAAGAAAGACTAGGCAATCTACTTCCATAGAGATACCACCTCAGAAACCCAAGGAGGGGTCTCTATGAGTCATAATCAACGCGTCTGCAGTAAGTTTAGTTTTGGTTTCAGACTAGGAAGATGAGCAGAAGTTTGACTGTATTAAAGATTGATGTGAGAAATAACATCAGGACCCATACACACAGAATGGAGGAGCCATTGCTGACTAGAAGATTCTTGAATCTATCTGTAAAGGTTGTTAAACATTCTTTTTGGATCTTAGGCTGGGTTCCCTAGAGAAACAAAACCAGGGACACATATATTTGTATATAAATAGAGAGATTTATCTCAACATAATGGCTCACAGGGTTGTAGAAGCTGCCAAGTCCCAAGTCCATGGGTCAGACATCAGGCTGGATGGTTCACTTAGCTGCAGGGGCTTACGAACCCAAGATCAGCAGGGCAGACAGCAGGCTGCTAGCTCATGGACTGCGGAAGGTGATGAATCCAAGATTGGTAGGTAAGACAGCAAATCACTAGTTCAGGTCTCAAGAATTGGAGGTCAGATGGTATAAACCAGATGCAGGATACAGAGCAAGCAAAAAGCTAGAGAGCTTTGCCAGAACATTCACATATATTTGATGCAGGACACATCCCCAAGGAAACTCCCTTTCAAGTAATTGGCTGCTCATAGCAGATCTCATCATGAAAGTCATTACATTATATCAGATCTCATCATGGAGGATGACTGTATCATTACATAACTGCCAAACTATATTATAACTGCCAAACTAGAGAATCATGGCCCAGACAGTTGGACATACAACCTTGACCACCATAATGTCTGAACCAAGTTCAAGCTGACATTGGTAAAAATCTCCTTGCCTAAAAGAAAATAGTGTTCCAAGGCATGGAAAGGGGTAAAGTGACAATGTGTGATGTCAAAGGCAGGCTTCCTGGTTTATATCATCACTCCTAGGGATCCTTTCTGACATACTGTGTCCAAAATGTGGACCCTTTCTTAAATCATTGACAGTAATTCATTATCAGGTGAGTAGTCTTTGAGAAAATCTATTATAGGCTATGTTAATCAAACAGAGATATTTAAGTTGGAGGATGGTTGTAGTCAGAAAATAGACACTGAGGAATAAGCAGTCTAGATAGCCAGCAACCTTCCCCAGACTTCAACTGAAATTTAACAATTACAAAGGGGAGAGAAAAATAGTTTTGAGTCACTAACCACCCTCTGAAATGTTTTAGGATTCATACTAGAGTGAAACGACCTCATTCTAAGCTGTGTGCATGGTGAAAGAATTTAAAGTTGTTTTTGGTCTCTTATTTACTCCCCATTCATACTTTCATTTTCATTCTTCTATCTTGTATTAGAATTTAGAGTTTGGGGATATCC